CCCGCCCCTGCGGGTGCCCTGCGGGAGACATAAAGCCTGCCAGGCCGCTCCTGGGGCACCTCTGCCGTCGCCATGAAGGGGAGCAGCACCCTCCTGCTGGTGGCCGCCACCCTGCTCTGCACCTGTGGTGAGTCCGCTGCCAGGGGCCTCAGCACATTCTGCTGGGGGTGGGGGGTTGGCGGGCGGCTAGGAAGCTAGAAACCCAGGCGCTGGGCCCTCACCGTGGACAGCGCCCACCTTCCCAGGACCCCACCCCCTCCTCCATCACAGAACAGATGCGGGCAACCACCCGGGCCCCTGCCAACTCCGTACCCACCCCAGCCCAGCCTGACCCTCCCCTCCCAGCCCCAGGCTGGCCAAGCTCGCATGGAGGGGGAGTTCCCATGTCTGGGCTCAATCCCCCCCTCACCCCGACCCCCGGACCCAGAAGCTTGGAGTGAAGAAAGCTGAGGTTAGGGTGATGGGCGGCGTCCGCAGGCGGGTGGATCGGGGATGTTGTGGAGGAAGATCGGGGGGCAGTGAGGCAGGGTCATCGTGGGGGACACCTGGGGCAGGTGAGGCGGGAGACCTGGAGGGGCGGGCGGCACTGTCCCCCCACCATGCAGGGCTGGCCGCGGACGAGGACAACAGCGAGTTCTTCATGGAATTCCTGCAAACGCTGCTGGTGGGGGACCCGGAGGAGCTCTACACCGGGCCCCTGGCCAAGTACGAGGTCAACGCGGCATGCAGGGAGGCGCTGACCACGCTCAAGTCCTGCATAGACGGCCTGCAGCCCACACACAAGGCAGAGCTGATCAAGCTGCTGGTACCGTGGCTGGGGGGCGCCCTCCTCCCCCATCTGCAGCCCACGCACCCCAACCTGCCTCAGCATCAGGGCGATGTCCAGGCTCACTGCCCAGGAGCAGCCCACAGCACCCCCCCACACACACACACCCCACTTCCCCAGCGGCTGGGAGGGCCCCAGCTGCAGTGGCCGAGCCCATGGGCCCCCACAGGGTGGCCTGCACCCATTTTCCCCGTGGCTCTCCAGTAATTGGTCGCCGGGGCGGGCACCCCGGTGTCTGCCTTGCAGGTGCTTGTGCTGGGCTGAGCACGGCGCCGAGGGACCCGGATGTGGCCACGAGCAGCCACAGGACCAGCTACATGAGCCGCCGTGGCCACGCCACCCACTGCCACTTCCCCAGCGTGATTTTATCCACAACCGTTCAATCAATAAAGCCTCCTGCAGCCCATGCTCTGGCTCCTGTCTCTTCACACTCAGGTTCACAACCACATACACACGCACACACACATGCGCACACGCACACGCAGGCACCCATACACGGGGTTGCACGCATGAAGCATGCACCTGTAAGTGCCCACACAGACGGCAGACCCCCTCCCCCGCCGGAGGAAACCCAGTCTGAGGCCCGTGGAGGCCGAAGGACCGAGCAGATGGAAGGCAGGGAGGCCACGGGCAGGAGAAGGCCTGCAGCCAGCGGTGGGGGTGGGAACGGGCTGGGAGCCAGGCGGGCAGGGAGGCCAGGGGAAGTGGCCAGGCTGGGGGCGCTGGGAGGGTGCTCGCTCTGAGATGAGAAGCGCACACGGTGAGCACAGGGCCCGGGTCCAGGGGGCTGAGAGCAATCAATCCCCGAAGTCGCCCATGGGAGGA